AACATATTTAAAGACTGTTCTCGAGTCCCCCTTCTTTTCTCAAGACTAAACATGCCCAGTTTTTTCACCTTCCCTCACAGGTCAGGTTTTCTAAATCTTTTCTCATTTTTGTTGCTCTCCTCTGCACTTTTCCTAGTGTGTCCACATTTTTCCTAAAGGCTTTTTTGCAACTGCGTCACAGTCTTCACTCATTCAATTTATGATCCACTGTAGCCCCTGGTCCTTTCCTGCACCAAATCCTCCTCAAACTGAATGACTTGGAGTGATGCCAAAAACTCAAGGGACGGGGAGATTTTAGTTTGGCTTAATATGAAAAAAATTCAATTTTTTGGCAAAGTGAAAGCACATAAAAATATCATGTTCGGTCAAATAAAATGCTTTGACGGCTTTTAAAAATAAAATGGGAGATTGTGATTGGAATTGGAATATCAAAACGTTTCAAATTTTTTGACCATTTTGGGGGAGCGAGAAACAATTTTCTGAAGTTGACGCAAATTCCCTAAATTTCTTCTGTCAACATGAATCTGTATTTTTTGATAAACATGTTTGCCCAGTTCTCGCTGGGACTTCAAGGTCACCAGCTTCAGCCCCCTCCTGGGTTCCATCCCTGGCTTAGGGGGGGGAGTGGGGTCTGGTAGTCAGAGTGCTGGGCTGGGAGCCAGGACTCCTGGGTTCTCTCCCCGGCTCTGGGAGGGGATAATCATAAAGCCTCTCTACACTCCTATACTGAGTCAGATTACTGCACATACAGAAGGAACTGACAAGAAATGAGCCGCTCATGGGGACTGGAGATGCATGGAGAAGCACTGCCCCCTACTGGTGGATACTGTACTACAACAGGCCTCACAGGAGACACATTCACGTTACTTCAGTGAGCAACGACCCCAAAGTGCTCACCCAGCACTGAGATGCAGCCACCTCTGGGGAGGGACAGCTGGGGAACAGGTGCAGGGTGACGTCACACCAGGAGGGCCATGTTTCATTCAGTCGCCAAGGCAACTGGGAAATGTCACTCCACATTGCAGCTCAGAGGTTAAGGACAAAATAAAGAGCTCGGCGTAGAACCCAGGAGTCCTGGCTCCCAGCCCCCCCACTCTAACCCACCAGCCTCCATTGCCCCCCCAGAGCTGGGGAGAGAACCCAGGAGTCCTGACCCCCTGCCGGGTTAATGGGGAGAGCCAAAAACTGGCTCATCCTCCCGTGGGTCAGACACAGCTTGGCTCAGGAGTTGAGAGACAAGGAGGTCAGCGACCCCTCCCTGGCTTGTTGTGGGGGGTTGGGCCAGCTGATACCCCACAAACACGAAGAGCAGGGGGTGCTGTGGGTGAGGGAAGAGAGGGGCAGCCAAGGCCTGGGGGTGAGGTCCCCACTGGCACAACACAGGCAGTGTGAAGGTCGTGCTAAGGCTGGGAGCTGATGGGGAGGGCGATGGAGGGGAGGGGCCAAGGAGAGCAGCAGAGCAGGGGCTGATGGGAATGGGGGGAAGCAGGGGCCAGGGGGTGCAGATCAAAGGTGCCAGGCACTAATAAGGAGACCCCCATCCCTGCCCAATCTGCTGCCTCCTTTTCCTAGCTGCCCCTCCCCAGAGGTGGCTGCATCTCAGTGCTGGGTGAACACTTTGGGGTCGTTGGTCACTGAAGTAACCTGAATGTGTCTCCTGTTAGGCCTGTTGTAGTACAGTATCCACCAGTAGGCGGCGATGCTTCTCCAGTCCCCGGAGAAAAGCTGTAACCTCGGGAGTGTAATACAAGCCTGGAGTGGCCAGTATTCATTTCTGGAATCCTTGCGGGCCCCCATCTTCTGCACTCGACGTGCCAGACTGGGGAATCAGCCTTGACAGGTCTTCTGGGAGACAGGATCTGTAGGATCCCCAGCAGCTCTGGCCCATCTCGACCCACTTGTCCCCCACCCGCCCCTGATGGTTCCTTATGAAAACTCAAGGTAAAGTCCCCCCCAACCTGGGTCTGTATCAGAAGCACCCCCTTGACGGGAAAGGCCCCGAATCCCATAACCCATCTGCCCAAGCCAGCCAGAAGGGGACCGGGGTAGGAGGTGACTGTGTTGGAGATGCCTGGGCAGTTGGTAGCTGTGGTGGGGAAGGGTGGAGTTTGGTGCCCCGTAGAGGGGAAAGGCCCCATGGCCCGTTCCCCACCCATCTGAGCCAGTCAGTCCCCTGCCCTAGGGCTGGAGTGGAGCCGGCAACCCCTAAGGGGGACTGGCCCTGTGTCCCATTCCCAACGAGCCCCCTGGATCTGGGGCCGGCTGGGAATGGAGGTAACGCTACTGGTACAGTAAAGGTCTCCATGGACTATTTTCCATTGCAAAGACTCCCAGTGTTCTTCCTTCTTCTGTGTCGGCCATACAAGGCCCCACAGATTTAACCCACTAGAGTTCCCTCCTTGGCTCTGGGTGGGGAGTGGGGTATACTGTGTTAGAGGAGGGTGGGGCAGGGAGACAGGACTCCTGGGATCTAACCCTGGTTCTGGGAAGGGAGTGGAGGCTAGTGGGTTAGAGCAGAGCATCATGGGGCTGGAAGCCAGGACTCCTGGGATCTATTCCCAGCTCCCTGACCTCGGCCTACCCCCGCCCTCTCCCTGTCTCAATTTCCCCAACTGTTAAACAATCCAGCTGATGTTTGTTTCTCTTTGCACAGGGCTCAGCCTGCACTGTTGACCTCTGTGGTCTTGATTCTCCTACTCTCCACTGGGAGGGGTGGGAGCTGTGGAGGGCTGTCTGCTCGGGGGGCTTCTGGCCACATCCCGGTGCCGCCTCTTCTCATGCGCTTATTGGCAGCCCGCGAGTCATGTGGCCACAAAGAGTCAAGCCCCAGGAGCCCACAGCATCCTGCCTGCGTCTGCAGCCCAGCCCCAGCCCCTGCACGACCTGCGCCCGGGGGCTTTGATGTGGACTGCGAAGTTCCCTTTGACATGGGAAGGAAATGGCCACACCCTGACAGGTCCCCTCTGCTCCACCCCAGAGGCAGCTGCATGTCACACACCCCTTGGGTGGGGAATGGCGTGTGGCTCTTGGGTTAAGATAGGTGCCAACGGCCTCTAGAGGGGAAAGGCCCCATTCTCCACCCCCATGAGTCAGCCAGTGCAACGCCCTGGGGCTGGGTTGGAGTCAGCACCCCCGAGAGGGGAAAGGCCCCATGTCCCATTCTCCATCCCCCTCCAAGCCAGCCAATCCCCTGCCCTGGGGCTGAATTTACCCCTTCCAGCATCTCAGAAGGGCCCAGTTATCTCTGCCCAGTGTTCGTATGGCATTTAAATTGTCAACAACCTGAACCCTCAATGTCAACTCTTTGCCAGGGGATGCTGTGAAGGCCAAGACTATAACAGGGTTCAAAAGAGAACTAGATCATTTCTTGGAGGATAGGTCCATCAATGGTAATTCGCTATTAGCCAGGATGGGCAGGGATGGAAATGAGCCACAGGGGATGGATGGAGCAGTTTCGGTGATCAACCGGTGCCAATGTAGACGCCCATCATGAGAATTTTAGAAGCCTCCAATCCCCACTCCCGTTCAATGAACAAAACATCCCCAAATCTGGGAACTTTCTGGCCTGCCCGTTCAATGCATATTATGTGCCATTCCTTGTCCTGCTCCGGGATGTACTTCAACACAGTCATGTACCATAGGGAGGCAACAGAGCTCACGGCGGCTGGCGAGCACGAGGAGAACCTTTTAAAATAAAAACAAAATAATTCAAGAGTACACACACATTTATTAGTTTCATGGTTTCAATGTGCAACTTCTGGTTGGAAGCAGCAAAACTAGACCTACTAAAAACAACAATGGGATTTGTCTAAACACACTCCTGCACTCTCTCTGAGATGGGCTGGGTGAGTTTGGAAAGGCATCGCCGCTTTATTCTCTTGGGAGACTTGGCAAAGCTTGGGAAAGGGACTGGGGGCTAGTGGTTAGAGCAGGGGCCTGGGAGCCAGGACTCCTGGGTTTTAGCTCCTTAGCCTCTCACAGGCACGTACTCATGGCAGCTGTTGCCCCCCAGGTTGGGCCCGCACTCCAGCATGTAGGAGTACAACACAAGGCCATGTTCAAGGCTGCAGGTGAGCGTCTCGCTCCTGCCGACCTCAAGGTAGGTTGTGCAGGCACCCAGGTGTTCCTCGTTCCATAGGTCCTTGTCCCATACCTCGATTTTCAATTCGGGCTTCACCGGCAGCGTCACCGGCCCGAAGTCCAGGTCTTGTGACCATATGGGGTTGTTATTCTCACGAATGAGGTCCGTCTCCATGATCTGTCCTTGGAAGAAGACCTTGACATAGGCATCGGTGGCGGACATGGTGTCTCCCCACAGGTCTGTGCCCTTCAGCACATGGACCTTCAGCCGTGCCGTGCCCCACTTAAGTGAACAGCACATGGAGTTGGTGAGGGGGTTGCCGGTGCAGTAGCATTTGCAGGGGTCCAAGGAGTCGACCTGACTCCCTTGTGGGCAGCTACGAGGGCAACTCTTCTTGTGCCCCCGCTCAGCCACGTACTCCTTCACTGCCTGCTTCAGCGCCTCCCGCCTGCGGTCGCCTGGTCTCATCAAGGTGTGGATGGGCATCAGAGAGTAGGAGACCAGGTCGGGGCTGGTTTTGAGGCTCTCCATCCAGGTCGAGAAGGAGTTGGCATCTTGCTTGGTGGAGAAGAGCTGCTTGGAGTAGCTGTGGCCACCCGTCACCTTCATGCGCTTCTCCATGTACAGCGCCTGGGAGCTGCCCCTGCCCTCGCTGCCCTGCTTTCTGGCCCGACTCAGGCCCAGGTCTTGCAAGAACTGTGAGTCGAGGTGCGCCTTGATTTCGGTGGCTGTCAGCCCGTCCAGCGCGGCCCGGCAGGTCTGGACAGCCGTCAGCTGCTGCACACGCCCCCCCAGGTCCGCCTGCCTCACGTAGTGGGTACCGTATGTGGCCAGGAAAGGCCGGAATATCGCTGAGTCGTAGCTGGGTGGGAGGCTGCTCAGGGCCTGGGAGAACTGGGGCGTCAGTTTGGGGTGTTGAGTGAGTCTCAACCTGCCCAGAGGGGAAAGAGAGAGGAGTTAGGAGCCAACCAGAGACCCCCG